CATTATTTTCACTGTAAAAAGAAATTACCTAAACTATTGGCGCGGCGTCTTGAAGCTTGATTCCTGTCGCCCCGCCCCGTTAGTATCGCTTAGGCTTTTTAAGGGATAAGTTGTGTCGCTTACGATCAGTATACACATTACGCAACAGGACGACGTGAAATTAAAATGGGAAATAACCGTGATAAAAATAAGAAGCGACTGGGTTGGCGTTAAGAAACAGGCATAAATATGATAAATCTAATGAAATAAGTATCTAACGACCTATCTACTTACAGTATTAGTGATTACAAACATGTCGGTACATAGCATACGACGCGCGGGGAAGTGGGAACGAAATTAGAATTCGAGCTGACTTACTATATCCATTGATTTATATATTACACTAGATTATTAATAACCGCGCCAAAGCGTTGCCACTGCACATATGGCCACAGCCATATGCCTGGCTGACGTCAGTTCAGTGTTCAATGTGACGCCGACAGAATTTAGCCGCGAAAAATATATATAAATGCGTAGTGAAAGAATGCTATTCAAGGTCACAAAAACGTAATAAATCAAGCGTAATCACTTTCAACATAACTTTTAGTTCTTGTTTTCATATAAACGTAAAAACCTCAAATAATTAAATAAAATTATCGAATATTGCCATTTAGGTTCAATGTTGCCACTTTTCCGCATTTGTGATTATCCTACATTAATGGGATACTATATAATTAATGGAGTAAGTTAATTTGTTACCTCTGATTTTAAATATTTCGGAAATTATAATTAAAAACTACGTTTTAACTTTCATACAAAATAATTAATTATTCTTATTTTAGTTTATTCATGAATTATCTATTAAATATATTTTATTACCTATTTTATATTAATAATTTTATATTTATTATGATTTCATATTAATTTTATATTAATTCTATTTTATTACCTATTTTATATCGTTTGATTTATTAGTACAATAAAAATATTTATAAAAATATGTTTTAATTCATCATTATGATTATTTCTATTCATCTGATAAGCTTTGTATCCTTTTTTTCTAAGGGGACGCAATAAAGATTTTAAAATAAAATATATATTTTTAATATAAAAACAATTAACTGCAGATTAAAAAAAAACTAATTTTTATTGCGTATTTTAGGTAAAATTTCATATACTAAGCCACACAAACCCGCCATTGCATGTTTGTGTGCCTATCTTTATCTAACCTTAGCGACGATACTGTTTTCGCAACTTGTGTAAGTGAGATAGATATATGTTTATTCAAAATTGTTATTAGTTGCGCGGTAATGTGGTTTGCTCCTCTAGTATTGTATAACTCAATGACTATATCCCCGTAACCCGTAACGCTGGTACGAATATTCTGTGAGAGCGTGGTCCTATCCCTCTAGGACCGATCCATTCAGCACGAATGGATCGGTTACCGCCTCGTATAAATTAGTATAATTCCCTAATTCTGCCAAAAAGTATTATGATACTATGATACATTAGCATAGACAGTAGAACGAAATCATAACCATATAGTCTTAGTAAAAAGTCAGTCACCAGTTACGACCCTATGGCAGAAGAGCGTGTTTGTCCACCTCGCCGAACATTCTTAACACAGCCCTTACAATATTATGTTTTGCTAAATTTTAATAAAATAACTAAAAGCTGACTTTAAATTACTAAAAATAATTTTAAAAAATCCAAGTAATAGCTTCCGAAGTCGGTGCGAAGAAGTGTAGGTACTTATAGAAGAAATAAAGTTCCGACTTCGAAGGTTAGTAAGTAGGAAGAAAAGTTTTTTGAAAAGTTATTTTTGACGCTTTTGAGGGTCCTTAGGAATATCACAAGCTCAAGTAAGCAACAAGAATGTTGTCTAAATAGTTGTATTAAAAAATCTCATCTCTTATTTTACCTCCTTTAGTGGTACCTGCACTTTTTCTCCAAATGGATATGGGACCATGTATGAAGTATAACCTATTCAATAAATAAGAATTAACGAAAAAAAATTAAAGAAAAACTGATTGACACCCAAGGTGGTACGTAAAATAGACGTTAGATGGCCTGAATTTATGGAATCATGAATTTTTAATAAATGTTTTTTTTTTTCAATATGGTTAATTGTATTTGTTATTTTTTTACTGTTTACTGCCGATGCTACGTGGCTGCCATTTCTGTATGAAAATCATAGATCATGGAAAGTGAACCATACAGATGGAAAACGCACTAAACTATCTACTACCGGTTTTGATGGCTCTTTTTTTATTCAATTTAGTATTACTTGGAGTCATTTATCTTATTACTTATTTAAACGAAATATTTTAATCCGATCATGTTTAAAATATCTAAAGAAGTCTTCGACATTGTTAATGTACTCGTAGTTTTAAAATACGGGACAGCCAATAATTTTTACGACGAGTAGATTAATTTCCCTTCAAATGTCTATACTCTTTTCGATATACCTTATATAATATTAGTACTTACTAATTACAAAAAGATTTATATTAATTTTACCTATTACGAAGATGAGGTTTGGTCGTTCTTCACTGCTTGTTTATTCCATAGGCACACGACACCTTCGTACCCATTGATTTATATAACACTAGATCAGTAATAACCGCGCCAAAGCGTTGCCACTGCACATATGGCCACAGCCATATGCCTAACTAACGTGAGTTCATTGTTCAATGTGACGCCGACAGAGTTGAGCCGCGACAAAAATGGGTAAATGCGTAGTGAAAGAATGCTATTCAAGGTCACAAAACGTAAAAAATCAAGCAGAATCACTTTCAACACATAATTTTTAGTTCTTGTTTTCATATAAACGTAAAAAAACCTCAAATAATTAAATAAAATTATCGAATAATGCCGTTTAGGTCCAATGTTGCCACGTTTCCGCATTTGTGATTATCCTACATTAATGGGATACTATATAATTAATGGATTAAGTTAATTTGTTACCTCTGATTTTAAATATTTTGAAAATTATAATAAAAACTGCGTTTTAACTTTCATACAAAATAATTAATTATTCTTATATTAGTTTATTCATGAATTATCTATTAATATTAAATATATTTTATTACCCATTTTGTATTAATAATTTTATATTATTTATAATTTCATATAAATTTTATATTAATTATATTTTATTAGATACCTATTTTATATTGTTTGATTTATTAGAACCATAAAAATACGTTTTATTTCATCATTATGTTTACTTCTATTCATCTGATAAACTTTGTATCCCTTTTTTTGTAAGGGGACGTAATAAAGATTTTAAAATAAAATATGCTTTTTTAATATAAAAACAATTAACTGCAGCTTAAAAAAACTCATTTTTATTGCGTATATTAGGTAAAATTTCATATAGTAAGCTACACCAACCCGCCATTGCATGTTTGTGTGTCTATCTTTATCTAATCTTACGACGACGATATTGTTTTCGCAACTTGTGTAAGTGAGATAGATATATGTTTACTTAAAATTGTTATTAGTTTCAAAGCTACGTCGCGTCGTCGCGTTTGGATAGTGGTTACACTTTTTTCGACGCGCGGTAATGTGATTTGCTCCTCTAGTGTTGTATAACTCAATGTTCGTACCTTGTTGAACAGTACGCGTAAACGACGCCGTTTCGGCAGCGTTTACGACTTTTTCTCGCGAGCATTGAGCTATAATGCTTCCTATCTCATTTTCTCCCATGTTAAATCTTATTAATTTATGTGTCTGTCCCTTTTTACTGTCGCTTTTTCGTTTCATAGACTTTCAAATCACAACGATGCTAAAGAAGTTTTCACTTCAAAAAGAACATAAAGTCGCATTGATAAACTCCTTTTTTGTAGTCAGCTACAAGCATTATTCATGAGCTGTGATGGATAAATTTATAAAATTATTGTATTGTCAATGGTCCTTGATACGAGTGCAAATTTTCAAGTCAATTGGCCGTCTACAAGTTAATGAAAATACACGCGAAGCTAATAAAATCACATGGGTAAAGTTTTGGACGACACACACGGTCAGTTAAAATGATCAGTTGAACTGACGTATATCCAAAAACTGACCGTGAGTGTGAAATCTAAGTTGAAATTTTTAACTGACGGCAACCCACGGATTTTTTTCGGGAGTACTATCAGTTGAACTGACGTACATTCAAAAACTGATCGTGAATGTGAAATCTTAAGTTGAAATTTTCAACGGCACTCCATGGAGTTTTCCGGGCGCACCGTATGATTAAAGCGTGTTAAAAACTATACATTTGTTCGACCGAATTTAACTACGAAAGGTAACGAAGTCACAGACTTATGAAAAGTTGCTTGAGAGCACGTAAAATACCAACTAATCTTTAGTTTTCTTTATAAAATTTTAAAGATTTATTTGTCAAATCTCTATAAACAAAGACACGGTTTTTTTCTTGTTTGAATATGTACGTATTCAGCTTAATTTTTTGCAAAAAAGTTAATCTATATGCACATAAATTGAGATGACTTCTTTACAAATATAAATTGAGTAAATTTAAGCTTTTTGTATGTAAAATATATGGTATAATTATCGAAAATAATTTGTTCACTTTTACACAATACAAGTTATACAAGTTATAGTTATAGTATTGAATATGTCATGTATTTACATAGTTACTTGTTTCTGTGATCTGAGGTTACGTCATACTTTTTTACATATTTCGAATGGATCTGGAAAGTTTTCAAAGGAATATTTAACAAGAATGTGCTTTTACAAAAGACTAAAAAAGTTGACATTTTAACTACCTACATATTAGAGAGAAAGAGAGAGAGATTAAAAAACGACTGGCCTAGGTATTCGTATCTCTGACAAATAATATAGCATATATAATATAGCAATATAATGAAAGCTTCGCGCCTCTAATTTCAGCACTACTAACTAGGCCAGCAATTAGTACACTGTAATCAAAATGATTTCCTTAATATATCAATGTATTATTTATAGTACCGCACTATACCGTAAGTAATCTATTTTATAATTGTATTCTTTCACAGAACACAATAAGATCATCGCGTTCATAACACACGGTGGACTTCTGGGCATGACGGAAGCGATATCAGCAGGCAAGCCCATGGTGGTCGTACCATTCTTCGGAGATCAACCCGCTAATGGCGCGGCCGCAGCTGCAGCTGGCTTCGCGAAGGTCGTATCATATATGGAGCTCACTGAGAAGGTCCTGACTGAAGCTCTTGATTTTGTACTCAGTGCTGAGTAAGTTATTATTAATCACTTACTAACTTCAACTTCGCACTCTATTTTTCAAAGTTATTGTTTAATTCTCTAACGACTATTGTTATTTAAATAACTAATGTTGCAGACAGTTCGTCTATTTTTACCACCTCAACATAGATTTTTTTTAACTTATAGGCCCTGAATGGTAAATTAACGCACCGTCTTTGGGTAACAAAAGCTTATTCACTCTTGTGTTAAATGCGCCCAGTGTTTGGACAAAAAGGCAGACGCCAACAAATTATTCCACTACTTAGCTGTTCGCATTAAAGACGAAACAAACCGTTCGGTTCTAATGCATGGAATATCGACAACAACAGGGTGAAGCCCACCTGGTTTAGAGGAAGATGATAATTCAGCTGTCGATTCCGTGGTGCAGTGGCTTAGCAATGAGTTACAGCGCTAAGGGCTAAGGCTAAGGGCACGGAACAAATATTTGTAAGGCCTACAAGTAATTGTTCCGGGTCTGGATGTTTGTCCTTGTGAAATTTATGTTTGTAAACTGTCCCCACGATTTAGCAAAAAAACCTAATGTGGAGGTAACGTTTTTCAACAAAGAAAAGATTACATATTTTATCGATAAAGAAACAACAAACAAACAAACAAATTACAAATCCGTGATAGCTTACGAGTTACGCGCTTATCATTACGTGAAAAAACCGAATTCAATCTCTTCAGCACCAATGCAACAATCCCTGGCACTTGCTCATTCGTCGACAACTAGATTTGCACTATCGACTTCCGGTCTGAGCAGGGGAGTGATGTGGCGGTGCTAACGTCGCGCCACAAGCGAAACACATCGACGCCTAAATCGCGCTATCAAAGTTCCGAATCAAAAATAGTATATAGTATAGCTCCGAACTAACACAGGGAGCGTTGGGCGCTCACCAATCAGAACACCTTGCCCGTCGGGAGATCTCCGCTTTTTCTTCCACTATAACATGAGGAAACCTGTATAACTGAGAATAACAAAAATAAAATATTTCACAGAAAAAAACAAGTTCGCCAGCACAAATTGTGTAAAGTAGGGGATTTTTCTTATAGCTCAAAATATTTTTTACATCTTCTTTCATCGTTTTTAAACCTGATAGGACTCACTGTAGTTAGGTACGTTATCTTTGACTTTAAACGTCTAAATTATATGATTATTGACAGCCATTGTAAACCGTTTATATTAATATTATAATAGTTTTGTTGAAACCATAGATATATTTTTAATATTTCTATGGTTGTCCAGTCCTCCATGGTAAAAGTAATGAAACAACAAGCAAATTGCGCATACACCACTTGTAAAAGTGTTAAAGTACAGAAAGAAACCGGGTTCTATTTCTTAAAGAAAAATCTAGGTCTAAAACCAAGCTAAACGAGTTACAAACGCTCGCTTTCCCTCCATCTACCATGTCGATTACTGCACAGTTATCAGTTTTATTAAAGCAGTTAATAATTAAAAAAATTTAATCAATAAAATTCAATTTTTACAATTTTCAATCAACAAATGCTTTTATGCTCTTATATTATATTATATTAAATTTTTGTATAATTCCAGGACTCGAGTGAAAGCACGTCTTGTGTCAAGCATTTGGCGGGACCGACAAGCTGACCCTCTAGAAACTGCTGTTTACTGGACTGAAAGGGTTATACGCTGGGGCCATGCCGCTCCTCTTCATTCTTCGGCAAGAGACATGCCATTTTATCAGTTGGCATTACTCGATGTCATTGCTGCATTTACAGTCGCCATTTTGATTTTGGTGTCATTATTGTGGTTTATTTTATCTACGGTATACCGTCTAGTATTCAGTAAAGAGAGTAAATTAAAAATACATTAGTGTAAAATAAAATAAAAAATAGTAATATTATTATTAAGTAATATAATTCAAGACGTTATAACTAATATTATTAAAGTTTGGTTTCGATGAACCCCTAAAAGATATACCTAACGATTATCAATGTGCATTCGATGATTGTATAGTTGCCGACACGAGTCGTGAGCACAGATAAACTGTGGTGGGAGGTAGGTACACTGTCGGGCAAAATTATTGGTTACCTTTATTATTTCAATTCGTAATTGAATATTTTCGCCGACTTTTATGAAAATGTTTACTCGAACACATCAACTATTACTTTGATATAGTAATGTTGCAATTATTCCTGTCCGTTATTTTATTATCTACTATAAAGTATTTAATGTATACCTGGCGGTTAGAATTGATTATTTTATTAAGAAGAAGGAAGAGGTGATATGCCTTCCATAAAATCTGGTGTTGCGGTGCGCCGTACAGTAGCTACTGAGACATTAGTCGCCTCAGCAGTCTGTTTATATACGTCTATGATGTTTTTTGCAGTACCTAATTTTTTCATGTAACTAAACACTGAATAGACCATTTGTCGGGATTGTCTATTTAACACCGAATTCTTCCTTCTCTGCATATTTAGACCAAAATCTGAACACTCAAATTATAACAACAAAAATAATTAAACACAAGAAATAACAAAAACAATTAATAACAAGGAATACACAAACAACAATTAACAACGAGGTAACAAAAGCAATTAACGAAAATAAACTAATTAAAAAAGTTATCACTAAAATTATTGCTCTGAAGTGTACGGAAGCCGAATGATACGTTCGAAACCAATAAACGACGAGAATCGACTGATGAACCAATCACGTTGAACGTCAGCGTGGTCAACGTCGTATCGACCAATAAAAAGTGTGCTCACGACTTATGTCGGCAATTATACAATGTATTTGTTTGTTTTGTCCCAATTAATCATGTTTTGTTGACGCTGCCACTGCAATATACAACAACAGCGCAAACAGGCTGAACAACAAGGGAACCCTAATCATGCTTTTGTAGTTTCGAAACAACTCGGCAATTTAAAGAACAATATCCATACAAGATCCATACTGCCAAATAGAGCGTTGGCCACTTCTCGGGCTAAACATCTTGCCCGACGATAAATCTTCTCGTACAAAAAGTTAATAAATATTTGATTATGTTAAGGGAAGTTTATTACCATAATATTACTATAATAATCAGGAAAAGAAAACCTAGTGTAGGGGTAACTTTCAGAAATAAAAAAATACATAATCTGTAAGACGTTAACTGCTAGCTTTAGGTACCTAGCCAAAAAATACCCTACCGTTGACATTTGCTTAACCTGATAAAACAAATTATACATCTCGTTAGTTAATAATGACTATTTTTATTAAAAATTTCACATATACGTAGCTTGCCTAAAACATTTAAAAGAAAGTCGAAGAATTGTTAGTTAAGATCTATATTAGTAAGCAGATACTGTCAAATGATATTAATTAACTGTACAGAAGCATTTTTAAAGATTTTACAACAAAGATAGAAAATATTTCATTTACGTTAAGTTTATGTTGTTCTCTCTTTGTTCTTAAGGAATTCCACACGATTACCTAAATGATATTTACTGAAGTGTTACAGAAACTAACTTTATCGTATAGTTACGAAGTTATATATGATGTTATTAAACTAAGCTAAATTATAAGATAACAAACACTTATTAGTAGCTGGAACATCAGAACGCATTTATTTAATTACATAAATTTTTCAACAACATAAAGTAATCTATTACGAACTTGTTAGTAACGCAGCAGTAACTTTCACTTACGATGCGACGTTGTTAAATTTGTACTATTATAATATATATTATTATATCTATTATAAATATTTGCTTAAAGATGTTCAGAAAAAGTTTGGAACTACGATGGTTACTGAATGGAAATGACAAAGGAAAAGTGCCTAATAAAAGTTGTATTAGGTTTTAGTTTTCCCTAAAAACTAATACAACATTTTAGATTTCCAACAAATTACTGTCATTTGTATCTATTAGCAATAGCACGGCGTCGTGAAAGACGGCTTTTGAAAATACGAGTAATATCAGTTTGCATTATTTTTTGTGTATTTTCTTTCATTACGACATGCTTAAAATTAGTATATTTTAAATTCAGCAAATTAATAAATACGTTTAGGAAAAACCCGTAAAGACGTCTGTAAATAACTATAGGATATGTATGAATAAAAATAATAAAAAATATTTGTGATACCTAGTTGTTATAAGTATTCTGTTGACTCTTGAAATAAAATACGTAAATAGTAGCAGTATTTTATTTAAAATTGTACCGATATTCAAACGACTGAAATACTCTATTGGAATTGCATATGGACATATCGATAATATATATCGATAATTATAAATATATCAATATCAGAGTTTTATATAATAAGTTTATTTATCGAAAATCCGATATTTAAAAAATATCAACAGTCCTAGTTTGAACTGATCATTTGAACTGACCATATGTGTCGTCCAATAAGTATTCTGAAAGAAATTATATTCCTTTCCTCTATTGACTTTATACGGCTCGGTGGCTGAGTGGCTAAGGCGTTTCCCAGCGGTGCTACAGGTTCAAATCGCGCACGGAATAAGTTTTCTCTGGCCTATAAATAATTGCACCCAGCATGGATGTTTTTCTTCGCGGTGGTAACGTTTAAAAAAGAAGAAATACGTACCTCTAAACAGTTAATTGACGAAAATATCGCATTTTTTTATAGAATACGGGTAACACGAGCACATAGTCCACCTGATGTTAAGTGGATGCTAGTGGCCATAGACACCTACATCCCTCCTCAATCAAAATACAGATGAACTATAATATGGCTACAGCATGGCTCTACCATGTTGGGAAAATCTACCTGTTGGCCATAAGTCGCCAAGGGAAGGCGACGCATAGAAAACTATACAGTGAAGACAGCTCATTTGTCTAGCCTCACCTATTAATTGTCGCTCGCCTAGCTGACGTGCCTTGGTACTACTCGGAATCGCTCGCCACGAAGCATCCCACGTGGGAAAAGTGTCGGCTTTTCTGCACAAATCAAAGGCGCTCGCCTGCACTCGGCAAGTCGTATCCACAATTTTTTTATATAGAATAAGGGTAACAAACGAACACAAGAATCAAAATGCAGATGCGTTGTCACCCCTAAGGATCTCGAACTCGATTTAGTAAAAAAGGTCTCCGGATCTCTACACTCACCATACGAAACACAGCAGTACTACGCTACTATTTTATGCTAGTATTCTGTGAGAGCGTGGTCCTTCCTCGGTCAAACAGACCCATTCGTACTACAACCATAATATCGCTGCAGCGTGGCTGTATCACGTAAAATATTTGTCGGCCATGACTGTATGTTCACTTTTTCTAACTTGACCAACATTTAGACTGTATAATGATTTCTTATATTTACGCGAACACTACACATTGAAATAATACTAGATTTTACGGAATTTATCGCGAATTTAACGCGATAAATTCCGTAAAATCTAGTATTATTTCAATATTTAGACTGTAGATACCTGTAGCATTCTTACATCACTTTAACTACGCTCGCTTTGGCTGAAGCTTGGCCAACATGTATTACCGGCTTGACTAGCCTGTGAATATCCTACCACTGGCATTGGCCTAACGTTAGGTTTGAATGTGTAATATAACGAGAAGACTTAGAACTTGTTAGAACTTAATTCTGAATTCTGATTCTTATATTTTTTTATTTTTATTTTAAAATCTTTATTGCGTCCCCTTATAAAAAGAATACAAAGGTTGGACTTAATGCCTTTAGGCATTAAGTCAAACCAAAGAAAAGAAAAAGGGGAAAAGATAAACTAAAATTAATACACATTATATGTAAAAAAAACAGACTATGATATTATAATATTGTAAGTAAATACATATATATTCATACTTTCACATAATATATTAACTCTAGCCAGAATATCTTGAAACGTCGAGATCTGACGAGTACTCGATTTTCAAAAACCATGGTGAAAACAACTTCCCGATTTTTTGAAAATCATTGATTTTTCATAGCGGGAAGTTGAAAAATTGTATAAATATTTTAGCTCAGGGCTCGCCGCAAATTTCGCAGTTTGCGAGGAGCAAGCTTTGATCCCCACTAGCATCAATGATTTGCAATTTTAAGCTGTGATTTACCTCGTGCTCATATTATGATGTCTGAGGCATATGAATATAATTTCGAGTACATAACAGGTCCGCCAGCACGTACTGGAGCAATGAAGCAAACTAATAAACTTAATAATAATAAGAATGGTCAATCTTAGAACATAATATACTATACGTTTATATTTTAGGTTCTAACTGGCAAGTTAAACAATAAAAAAATACTATATATTATGACATCAGAATCGCGATCGCAACGCCCGTGTGCGAAAAGTACAGTGTCAAACATCATTTTATATTCATTTAACTTAACAGGAAGCTCCAACCAAAATAAGGTGTCTGTAATCATACAGATTAATGTTCGAATCATGGTATCGGAAAATTCGCACCTGGGAAGGTTCCTAATATATAAAAAAATATTTCTATAGTTACTTCTTAATCTTCAATTGATCGTCATCATTATCATCAGCAAAAGTCCCCACAAGTCCACTGCTGATCGTCGTCATAAGTACTTTGTTATTTAATTTGAAAACGCAATCTTTGTGACAGACTCTGTTTTTTAAAAATCCTTCGTTGTTTTTATAAGCACTTTATTTTTCAACACACAATAAGCAACAGTAAGTAAATTACCAATCTTAATAATATTAGTATACTTATTCGAATATTCCAGCTTCATACTAGTTATTACCCAGTGTGATGTCGGTAACCATGGCAGTGAAATATCTGTAATATATGGAAAAAAGTTTGCATATACATAAGAAAAATAATTTATTTAATACCAATTAATGTTAACTTGATTGTGAGGCCTTATTTCTAAATATTCGGCTAAACAGAGATTTA